CCTATATCTGGACCTGGACCTATATCTGGACCTGGACCTATACCTGGACCTATATCTGGACCTGGACCTATACCTGGACCTGGACCTATATCTGGACCTGGTCCTATATCTGGATCTGGACCTATACCTGGACCTGGACCTATATCTGGACCTGGACCTATACCTATACCTGGACCTATACCTGGACCTATATCTGGACCTGGACCTATACCTGGACCTACCATTCTGTGTTTGTCTGTCTCTCCTTCCTGTCCTCTCAACCAGCCGGTCAAAGCAGATGGTCTCTAGTCCTGAGCTGGTTCTGCTGGAGGTTTCTTCCTGTTAAAGGGAGTTTTTCTTTCCACTGTCTCCACTGTGCTTGCTCAGGATGGGAGACTGCAACGAAGCCAAGATTCAACTTGTCTGCTGGATTCTTAGATAGAGAACTTTACTAACTGGCTTTTATGTGAATGTTCCTGTAAAGTCCCTGAGACAACTTTGTTGTGATTTGGTGCTTTATAAATAAACTGAACTGAATTGAATAATTCTGTAGTTTTTTAATGTATTTTTCCCAGCCTGTTGAAGTATTTAAATAATTAAGAAATAACCTGTTTAATACATAAAAAAGTATGTTTTAACTTGCGCTGCAGAGATTTTCATGATGATTTTTGAATAAAAACAGGCTTTTCAATGCCCTTTTAGAGGGGACACGTTATTATTCCACCGCAGCCCTTGAATTCATGCATTTCATTCTAAATTGTAACCTCTTTATTTCCACTGGTGTTTTGCTATCAGACACGCATGTTGCTTCAGTTTGTGTGAAGAGCTGATGAGGCATTCATCTGAAGGGCAGACTGTGTTGCTCTCAGACGGACTGTTTGTTATGTGACCTCACCTTCCTTAGAGTGGGTGGGGGGTGGGGGTGCTGACGGCCAGCTACTTCTTCCTCGTATCAGCCATGTGGCACATGTAAAACATCTGCCTCTGCTCATCTCTTCCTCCACGACCTCCAGCTTCATCTGGACATTGGTCGCTTGTAGGAAAAGAGGTATCCTGATCTCCATGTCCATTTTTCCAGTTGAATAGTGAATGATTGTAGTTTTCCAGATGAGTGTTTTTCTGAACTGGAATTGAACAGAGAATTCAAGTAAACTTCAAGGTTTTTGATGCAAAATATTCAAGTGGTTAGGAGTTTGTGTTGAAGAACAGAGGAGGGTTAATTGATTTATTTTTTGCTCGGCTGAGGCCATGGCCAGGAGAAATGACAGAGTCAGGAGGTGGCCAATGGTGGCCTTGGCCAGCATACACCAACATTTATTTTCCCCAGTCATTTGAAGGAATTATTGTTTTAAGCAATAAAAAGTAGAAAGCATCGTTTCATCAAATGGTAGGGGTGTTCATTCATTCATTCAACCTTTATTTCTACAGGTAAGTCCCATTGAGCCTTGAGGACTCATTTACAAGAGAGACCTGATTTCACTTTACCCCCACATATATATCTTATTATTATTATTATACACACACACACACACATATAAACGTTCAGGCACCACTATATATAGGAGCGTGTGTGTGCACACGTGTGTGTTTTTTTTTAAATGTCCAGCTCACAAGTTTAACATGTATACAGGTATGGTGGCAGCCATCTTGGCTTTTGATGGGGCAATCCAATTTTTGAAACAAAGTTTTCGCATGCCTAGATGTAGCCACACACTAAAATGGAAGTTGGTATTTTTGAACATTTTGTATTTTTCAACTTATCATGCTTACAACAGACGGATGGACAGACGAGTGGAGGGAGGGTATTTCCCATTCCCCCTCTTAGCTCGGCAACGAGGGACAAACAGAGAGGCATCTCATGAGTTACTTTGGTTATTTTACAAAATGAGGAAGTTTAAAAAGCCTTATTTCAATTCAATTCAGTTTATTTATAAAGCACCAAATCACAACAAAGTTGTCTCAGGGACTTTACAGGAACATTCACATAAAAGCCAGTTAGTAAAGTTCTCTATCTAAGGTCCAGATATAGGCCCAGGTCCAGATATAGGTCCAGGTCCAGGTATAGGTCCAGGTCCAGATATAG